TTGTGGGGCAGGAGGAGTAAGGGGGTAAACTGAGATCCAGACAAACTATGACCTACTCCAAATTCATCGGTCTCAGTGAACGGCCATGTACAGCAATAAGGCTAAAAGGAGCCACAGGCTCCACCTCTGGGAGGAATTGCCTGTGGAATGTCCTCTCAAGTATGGCAAGGCCACCATAGGGACCTCATTATTCCCATCTGCCTCCCTGCAGCAGGACTTAGCCTCCACAGCTGCAAAACTAAACAGGCTCTGGGAGCTCTGGGAGCTTTCACTGTCCAGCAGCTGCACTGGCTATTTTCTGCTGAACCCGGACCTTAATATTTTCAGCTAGAAAAAAGTCTGCCTGAATTCACACACGCACACAAATGCAAAAAGTTTGTGAAGCACCAGTGTCATTCCCCTCCCCCCATATATGTAACACAAAATAAAAGGGACTTCACTAGATTTATTCTCAATCTGTTTTAAATTCATAAAGTTGTGAGGCATTATGTGATCAGTATAGTTACCGAATGTGATTCTGTGTCTGTTGAGAAAAAGCTAGCTAGAAACAAACACTAGATTTCATGAGATCGAAAGCTTACAGCCCCTCTGCCCAAGAAAGGTCTATCACAAGTAGCTAAATGCAGAACCACACAAGTTCAGAGACCCACAGACTGGAAAGAAAAGTCAGGATTTCAGGCCTATGAGCCTGCTGGGCACCAGCTAGAAATCAAAAGCTGTTTATGCTACATGCTTCCTGCATTAATTTGGAGTTGGTCCTAGTTGGTCCTCACTTTACTCCCTCACTCCTCTTCCTCCACAAAATGAAAATGGTAGACCCTACATACTCTGTCCAGAGCTGGGAGTATAAATGCACTGATGTTTGTGAACTGCTAAGATACCACTATAATCAATATGCTGCTAAGTTTTGAGAAAATGGTACTCTCAGGCCAGTATTTTATGGCAAAACTATTTGGGGGTGAAAGAATTAGAAATAAAAACATTGAGACAGACTTTTTACTGATCTATGCTGGCACAGAATTCCTATGACTTTGAGCAGTAAAGAGTCCGAGCTATACAAAAGTCTGTACAAACAGCAGGCATGTACCAGATGAAGCCAACTGTTTCATCAACATGGAGAAGGCACCATCAACTAATGTTTTTTCAGTTTTTATATATATATATTATAAATATATATATATATATATTACATATATATGAAAGCTTTTAAGTAAGTTTTCTGTCATCCCATGGCTCTGGGAAGAAGGGCTGGTCAGCAAACTCTCTTGTGATGAACCAGTAGAAAGAATAAAAATGATAGACTGAGGTCTTTATGCAGAGGGATAATAAAACATACAGGGTTCCCCACAAGAATCTCCTCAGTTGTTCTGGATGTTGGGATGGAGCTTTTGTGGGCAGTCCCAGAACTCCACGTGTTCCCCAAATACTCTGAACCGGGGCAAGGATAATGGTAAAGATTTTATTATCACTGCAGGTCTGATTAAGCTCCCTGGGTACCTGCTGCCAGCCATTGTCCCCATTCCCTGCCACCTTCTGAATATGGTTGCCTCTGATAATTTCTCCCCATGCTTTTAAGGGAGAGAGGCCCATCGCATAAGAGCCCTGCAAGAAAGGTTACACATTTCGATTTTCCATTTTTCCATAGATTTTCCACAGGGTATCCTATCTCCAGCTCTCTCCTCCTCACAGAGATTCTGAGCCTTCCCCATCTCTCTGTCTGCCAGCTCCACTGAACAGAACATCCCAGGCAACAGAAGGCCACTAGCCCTCCTTCTGCGCCACAGACACAGGAGATGCACCCGCACGCCGTCTGAGGGGTACACAGACACAAACACCCGCCCACCTTCTCTCACTCCTTTAAACTTCAATTGTTGGGATAACTTTAGAAGGGGAGTTTTGCCAAGACCAAGTATATTTCAAAAGGTAGCCTCATTAAAACACCCTACATGAGCTAAGGCTCCTCTGAATTTGGACAGCAAGACCTGGTCCATGGTATATCAGGGACTGTTCTGTAATTTAAACTTAAGATTTTGGCTCCTCATAATTAAAAAGCCTGTACCTCAACTTTGTACATGGTCTGGATATACAGTTTAACACTGAAAAGTTTTGCTCAGTGTAACAGGAATAATTTCACTTGGTGTTTGCTGCAAATTAGACATTAGCTTTAGGGGAGGCCAAAGGTCATTCAGTTTTGTACTCAGCACATTCAGACAGAGTAGGATACCACAAAACCGACTTAGTTAAGGCTACACAGAGTGAATAAGACATGCTCCCATTAATAGTAACAGGCCAGCACAAGCAGTTTGAGACAGCATCCACAAATAAGCTATGCATACTTTCAGCAGTGCTAGCTTCTATTATATTTTAGAATGCTCATTTTAAAAAAAAGAATAGATGCATATTAATCAAATGCTCTGTTTGCCCAAGCATCAGATCCTTATTTTGTAGCATGCTATATGCAGTATTTCACAACAAGCTGGGTGCTGAACCATTTACTTCTGAGAAATAGAACTGTGACAGTGGTAACAAACGAGCTTGGTTTGTATAAATTTGACTCGCTTGTGCTTGTTATCAGTGAGATCACAATCATGAAGTCATTCTTCTTGGTAGAAGTCTCACCCGTCAGATATCAGCTTTCTGGAAATAAGGCAGGTTTCCATACTTCTAGAATGAGTTTTACCACTGATTTCAGGCCCAACAAAGATATGAAAGACCAGCAGCTTCCCTTACTTAAGGCTGTATGCAGATCTCAAAAGGTAACTCAAGACACTAGTTGTTCGACTAAGCATAACTAAGAATATATAACTAGGAATAACTTAGTACAGGAACTAAGCATAGGAATAACTTGGTAAAAATTTATGGGATTATCTTAATGAGATCATCTTCCTAGTCGCTCTTTCTTTACAACAGGAAAGCATGACTGATATCACAGGTCATGCAAGATCAAAACACATGCTCACACTGCAAGAAGAAGTCTGAATGTAAGGAATACACACACGACTTTACAAAAAAACATGCAGCCTTTCTGTATTATGCGCCACATCTCCCGAGGAGGCTCCAGCACCTCATGGGGTCCGGCCTTTTACGAGCTATTTTGTTTCACATAAGCCATCTGGAAACAGCTCCAAGTGCCTTAACTTGGGAGCCAGTGCTGTGCCTGCAGCTTGGGAGCCAGTGCTGTGCCTGCAGCTAGGGCAGTGAAAGTTAAGCCAATCAAGGGGAGACTTCAATAACGGAACCCTTTAGTACCCACAACATTAGAGATCCCTCCAAACATCAAACGTTTTATCCGTCATTAAAACTGCTTAAGACCCATACTGACATAGCATCTTTCGCAACGGGCTGCAGTAATGTTAACACAATCAATTGAATTCTTGAGAACAGAAAAATAAATATATATATCTCAAATACAGTAGCTGAGAACTGCATTTTATTTTCTTCTGCCTTGGAAGCTCAAAAGGCCTCTTTAGTTATTCAAGAGTGGCCGAGTGTAAACAACACAGCCCGCAGTAGTTTGGGTTCCTATGCGATCTGACCCGTTTGAGGCGGCAAATAAAGTACATCTCTTGCTAAATAAAGTACATTTTCCCATCTCAAGCGAGCCAGAAGAGCCAGGACTTTGACTCAGGATGATCTCAGGCACGAGGGTGCTGTGTTGCAATGCCGTAATAAACACAGCCAGACAAAATGCCTTCCCATAATACGGGATGATGCCATTAGCCGCCAATCAGAAACCCACCGCCGAGCGCCAATGAGCGCCGCCAGCAGCCAACTCCGGAGGACCTGGCCGCGCAGAACTAAAAATAAAGTCTGCCGCGGCAGAGTGGGCAGCAGGAGTTTGATTCTCCTTTCAAGCCCCCTTTTTATCAACCCCCCTAAAAACACGGCCCGAATCGGAAGCGGGCGATTAGTCCCGCTGCATGTCGTTGACTCAGTCCAGCATAAACAGCCAGCTCTGAGTAGTTCCGCGGGCGGCCGCGCTCCAGCCGGGGCGGCGGCGGCGGGGGAAGGGGGCGCGGGGAGGCCGCCGCTCCCCTGTCCGGCC